CTATCAAAAAATAAATGATTAAGTCCAATTTATGTGACGCATGATTGCCAAAACTACGAACACCTAAAGAGATCCCAGGTCCCAACACTTCAGATGCAACCACAAAGCAAACTATCACACTTGAGCAAACAGACAATGAAGGCAAGTATAAAGGGAACTGAGTAAGTAAGAATTGTCGCATTGGCAGCAAGTGGCATATAACATGGCCAAGCCCATCGCTGTTCTAGTGGGACTCCTCCTGGTATGCAGTGCGACTCAGGTAAGAAAAAAATCAAATGCAAGTAAAGACTAAATGATCCATTAGTAATTAAATCATAAAATGGTGAAGAAAGAAAAAGTGCAAAAGAGACATAAAACTTTTCAGGTTCTCACTTCAGACAGTGAGGGGGTGACACTAGTCCTTCTAGACAGCAACAATCAAACAACAGCCACATCAACTCTCGGCGGAGTACTTGGACAACTAGCTAGCAGAATTGGAATCAAAACTGTTGTATTTGCAACAAGTGAAGATGAGGTTGAAGAAGACACATCTGGAACAACTGTGCAAATAACCAACAGTGAAAATGGCCTTGAAATTGAGGTAATGCAGGGTGGCCCACGGAGCCTGGTTCACTTTTTAGTTATACTGTACCGTATGCATGAGAGAACGGTAAAAACACTGTCTGATGTTTTGAGGAAATACAGAAAACTTGGTGCAACTTCCATAATGAGAGGAAAAGTTCTCAGATTGAGGGTATCTCATCAAAAGATGCGGAAAATTATCAATTTCTTTGAGAAGACATACTCAAAATCTAAGAAATTTTCCTCAAACAATGAGAGTTTCTCAAATTTTCCCATTTTTTCCCCTAGAAAAATCAGACATTGCACTGTGTACACATTACCTGACTGCCAGAGACCATGAGATGTTATCGTTAACGACGGTAAGCAAAGAGTAGCCAGGACCAAATGATTACTAACGGATTGATGCCCAACAGGTTGAAGGCACCAACTCAACAGAAATTCAGGACGTGATTGAAGCCATAAGCACAGCAGCAGAAGACAATGGAAGCAGCGTAACTGTGACAGCTAACGAAACAACAGACGACACTGCCGACGAAGAAACAAGCACAGGAGGTTCGGGCAGTACAATAACCGCTGATATAACTATTACTGACACAACAACTGAAGCAGTTACGGAAGCCACGGACGAGGTAGCCACTGAGACCGCAGAGGAGAGCACGGCCGCTGTTAACATCGACATCACTGTGAGCGGAGAATCAACTACCACTGAGGCCGCGGAGGAAAGCACCGCTGGTGTGAACATCGACATCAGTGTCGGCGGAGAAACTACCACCACTGAGGCCGCAGAGGAGAGTACCGCCGCTGTCAAAATCGACATCACTGTCGGAGACGCGACAACTGAGGCTACTGAAGTAACCACTGAGGCCGAAGAGGAGACTACCGCTGCTGTGAACGTCGACATCACTATCGGCGGGGAGGCAACTACCACCGAGGCCGCAGAGGAGAGCACTGCCGCTGTCAATGTCAACATCACTGTAGACGGAGACGCAACGACCGAGGCTACTGAAGTTCCCACTGAGGTCGAGGAGGAGACTACCGCTGCTGTCAACATCGACATCAGTGTCGGCGGAGAAACTACCACCACTGAGGCCGCAGAGGAGAGCACCGCTGCTGTCAACATCGACATCACTGTCGGAGACGCGACAACCGAGGCTACTGAAGTAACCCCTGTGGCTGAAGAGGAGACTACCGCTGCTGTAAACATCGACATTACTATCGGCGGGGAGGCAACTACCACCGAGGCCGCAGAGGAGAGCACTGCCGCTGTCAATGTC